TTCATTTTCTAAAAGTATATTATTTGAGTATTACCAAGTAATGAACATTTAGTATACAAAGAATGACTCTCTTGTAAGATTATCTCACATATCTTTATCCGTGAAATGGGTTGAGTCAAAATAAGAATTATAATACTTATGTTAAAAAATATAATATTAATCAGGAATAAAGTATTTGTTACTTATAAAAGAGCGTTCTAAGTAGCAAACATTTTATTTCTTAGCTTATTAGTATTAAATTTTTTAGTATAAGTATTATACAATAATGAACTTTTAGTACACAAAGAATGACTCTCTTGAGAGACATCTCATGGATCCTAATCCGCGAGATGAGTCGAGCCAAAATGGAAAAATGTAATACTTTTACTAAAAATATAATACTAATCAAGAATAAAGTTTTTGGTACTTATAATAGAGTGTTCTTTATAAGTAACAAACATATTATTCCTTATTAGTAAAGAGTATTACATTTTCTAGTATAAGTAATATATTTTCATTTTGATCTCACCCATCAACAAATCATATACAGGACCGGTCCTATCATTTTATAGGTCCGAGGTGTAGCAACAAAAATGGGCCCTAGTGCCCTACATGAAATTAATATATATTTGCATAACTACATGAAAAATATACTCTTTACAAATAAATTGAAATAAGATATACAAATTTTTAACAATTTTGCATACACAGTAATAATAATGAAAACAACTCTAGATGTTTTCCTTAGTTATAAATGAATTTTTCTTTGTTGGCTTAAAAAAATTACAAAATATTCAATAATTGCATATGTGACTTCATAAATAAAGAATTTATAGTTTATAAAAGCGGATAAACAATTTAAAAACAAATAAACTTATAGACAATCACATTGTTATTATAATAAACTAGTATTTGTCCCGTGCGATGCACGGAAAATATGTTATAAAAATATACTCTATATGAGGTTTATTCATATATAAAATTTTTGTTATTTAATAATTATTATGTGTGAATTCCAATGATAAAATTATGAACATAAATATATTTACAATTAAAATAATATTTAAGGTGGGTAAACAATATTAAAAATTTAGTACATAGTATTTAATATTACAAATTTTTAAGAACTTAGTAAACTACAATAGTAATTGAATTACAATTTTAGAGTCACCACGGATCAAAATTTTTAGACCTTTGTGATTTCTAACTCTAGATGTAGCAACATACAATTGACCTTTAAAGACCAAAATCACAATCTTAGTTCGAACATTGATTTTTTCTTCCAAACACTATCGAATTAAGTGTGTAATCACTAAAAGATGAGAACTAATAATTCGAGAATATAATCTTAATGTTACTAAACCTACTTCACGTCAATTAAGTTGGAGAGTGTTGTTGGATAGTATCCGATGAATCCACGAATAACGCATCTTTGTCTCCGTAGTCTTCAATATGCACATCAACAATCTTAAATATTAGGCCGCCTAGCTATGCCATATATTAATTTCAAACTTATGAACTTTGGGGTTGCATGCAATAAAAAGTATATTTTAAATATACTAAGGGTACATTATATATGTATGTAAGGTACTTTCAATATAAAAATAATGTATTTTTAATATATTAAAAATGTATTTGATATTCATGATCCATACAATTATGTGGACCATCGTTCACACAATAATTTGCCAGTAGAAATAAAAATATAAATAAAATAAATAAATAAATAAATAAATAAATAAATAAATAAATAAATATATATATATATATATATATATATATATATATATATATATATATATATATATATATATATATATATATATATATATATATATATATATATATATATATATATATATATATATATATATATATATATATATATATATATATATATATATATATATATGTTGGGTTGGGTTTCCCTCCTATGTGAAAAACAGCTCATGTTTGGACCAAGCCTTTTTTGTATCAACTATATAGTTTTATTGAGCCCTAATTATTATTATTATAATAATAATTAGGGCTCAATAAAACTATATAGTTGATACAAAAAAGGCTTGGTCCAAACATGAGCTGTTTTTCACATAGGAGGGAAACCCAACCCAACAAATCTCCCCCTCCCGACTATGTGGAAGATACCGCCATCCCGGCGATAGAACAACATACCTCAAACTTTCCTCTTGGCAACGACTTGGTCATCATGTCAGACCCATTATCATCAGTATGAATCTTTTCAAGTTCAAGCATCTTGAATTCCAAGATATCTCTAATCCAATGATATCTCGTGTCAATATGTTTTGACCTGTAATGAAACGTGGAATTCTTTACAAGATGAACTGCACTCTGACTATCACAATAGAGCACATACCTGTCTTGAACAAACCCGAGCTCCTGAATAAACTTCTTCATCCATAGCATTTCTTTACTGGCCTCAACAGATGCTATGAACTCAGCTTCAGTGGTAGACAAAGCAATACACTTTTGCAATCTTGATTGACATGGTCCAAACATGAGCTGTTTTTCACATAGGAGGGAAACTCAACCCAACAATATATATATATATATATATATATATATATATATATATATATATATATATATATATATATTAGAAACTGTCAGTGGAAATTATTATCATTATTATTATTGTAATTATTATTATTATTATTATTATTATTATTATTATTATTATTATTATTATTATTATTATTATTATTATTATTATTATTATTGTTATTGTTATTATAATTAACAATATTATTAAGGTCTTGTGAAAATTAAATGTTGATTATCACCATTTAATTTTCACAAGACCATATGACTTTATTATATATAGGATAGGATGACAATCATATTGTTATTATAATAAATGATAAAGTAAATATTAATAAAAATTATAAAACACAACATACAAATAAGAGTAGAGCATGAAATCTTAATTATTAAAGCAAAATAAATCAAAACACTTTAAAACGTGAGAAATGATATTCATAACAAGATATGAAGCATGATTAATTGGATAAAATAGTTGAATAGAAAATACATTATAAATCATGCATATTCTCTATTGATATCATATTTATAAATACTTTTTTTTTTTAGTTAGATCAATTTCAAGTCTTTTTTAGATTAATTTGAATAGAATAACGCATAATAGAACTTCTAAACTACATTGATTAGATATATAATTCATAAAAAAAAAACTATCTTTTAAAATAATTTCATAACTAAATCACAAAATATATTATATATACATAAATCATTATAAAGTTCACAAAATAACACACATGTTCTAAATATTAGTAAATTACTCAAATAGAAATAGATTCAAAATTTGATATGAATTACAAATCAATCTATATTATAAATCTCACTATAATTATAGAAAGATAAAAAAATCACATAGTTACAATTCAAAAAATACAATTAGAAATAGAAATAAATTCTATACCATACGTACTATATAATATTCCTAAATTTATCTTTTTTCTAAAGAGTAGGGGAGGGAAAATTAAATTTCTATAAGTTATAATTTTAATTTTAATACTATACAATATCGCTAAATTCGTCTTGAGAGCAAAAATTTAAAGTGAATAACGTATGGAGCCATGGGAGTTCAAACCCTTGATCTCTACATTAAGGTCCACAAGTCCCACCAGCTAAGCTAAGCTTTTTTTTTTTTTTTTTTTTTTAAAATTTTTTTAAAGACCAAGCCGAAGCTTTTATTTCACGATCAACTAAGCTAAGCTAACTTTATTTAATGAGGATGTATATTTAATAGAGCAAATATCCAAAATGGTCCCTCGACTATAGCTAAATTCACAAATTGGTCATCGACTTTCAATTTCAATCAATTAAGTCCTTAACTTTGCAATTTTAACACAATTTGGTCCTATGTCTATTTGACCGTTTGTTGACTGTGATTTTTGAGGATATATATGTAATTTCATGGTCCATCGTCGGGTTTTTAAGGTTCCGGTTGCATTTCCAGACTGCACTGTTACATTTGAATCCACTGTCGAAAGCAATCTACCAAATTCGGTCGCCTTTCTTCATCCTCCATTTAGATTCAATGTAGTTGAGTTCGTACCAGAGCGAAGAAGACGACGTGTTTCCGAACTGGTGCAACGTCATCCTGGAGGCCTCCACGTACTCCGACGATAGCTGAAGGCTCTTCTGGAGATCGTCGATCACGGCCAATAAATGATCAAATAGATGGAGGACCAAATCGTGTCACAATTGTAAAGTTAAGGACTTAATTGGTTGAAATTAAAAGTCAAGGACCAATTTGTGAATTTATCTATAGTCGAGGGACCATTTTAGGTATTTACTCTATTTAATACTTATACATAAAATCTATAGTATATATATAAAAAGTAGTGAACTAAGTTGGTGAGCCCCTTTCAAGTGTGGGCCCTGGGCAAGGGCCCAGCTCGCCCTTGCCCAGGGTCCAGCCTGATCATATAACTTCAGTATATTCAGTATATTAAAATTGACAATTTATTCATGGTCCACAGATATAATTGGCTAAGGACCTTGTGGTCCTGTGGCACTAATTTGCTCTCAATTTTAATTTTTTATGTATGTAGATGCTTTCAACAATATTCAAAACAATTTTACAATCACTTTTATAAATAATTTGTAAGAAAAAACTACAGAACCTTATGTTTTATTAGTGAATTTCATAATTTTTAATTTTAATTTTTTTAATTTTTTTTTTTAAAAATTAAAAAAATAATAAATAAAAAAAATCGGCCGCTAGGCGCTAGGCCCACGGTGCCTAGGGGGAGCCTAACGTTTTTTGCAACCTTGCTCATATGAAAAGAGGTTGTGGCTTCGAGCCTCGGTAGTATTCAAAAAAAAAAAAAAAAAAAAAAAAAACCTCTACCCAGCTCTTTTTCTTACCCCAAAAGGCTGAATCCCCAAAGCTAAGGGTCCCACACTCCGACCCGACAGAGCGTGTGGGAGGATGTAAATCAATGAGTTAGTAGACACCCAGCTCTTTTTCTATACATACGGAGTACTGTTTTAGGAAGCCCATCACAATAAATTGGAAGAAAGATTATTGATCTCCAGTGCCTATCCATAATAGCAATGGGTTCAGTGCCTAATAATGAGAGCTTCAGCGTTGAGCTCCGGCAGCTGGAACCTGAAAACGATAATAATGTCAGAAAAGTTGAGAGGGCTAATTGGCTTCTGGACTCTCCTGACCCACCAAGCCCATGGCAACAACTCTGTAGCTCTCTGAGACCCAAAACTTCCTCATCAGCTTCATCCAAGAACAGAAATTCAAACGGATTTGCTGTTTCTTTCCTGCAAGCCCTTTTTCCGATCTTGAAATGGGGGAGAACTTACAGAGCAGCTATGTTCAAGAAAGACTTGATGGCAGGCCTAACTCTTGCCAGTCTTTGTATTCCACAGGTCTCCAGCCATTTTCAGAGAATTGTATTTTCTTTTTTTTTTTCTGGTAATAATTAAGGTGTAAAAGTTTCCCTTTTTTTTTCTTGCTTGCAGAGTATTGGATATGCTAATCTAGCAAAACTGGATCCTCAGTATGGCTTATGTGAGTTCAATTCCCATTCTCTTCAAACTGTTAGTTAATTGATTTGAACAAAATGGTTATGATGAGGATGCAATTTTTTAATAGACACGAGTGTTGTTCCGCCTTTGATATACGCTGTGATGGGGAGTTCGCGGGAGCTAGCAGTCGGTCCGGTTGCAGTTGTCTCTATGCTGGTCTCTGCAATGGTTTCGAAAATCGTGGATCCTGCTAAGGATGCTATTGGTTACAGAAACATTGTTTTCACTGTCACCTTCTTCGCGGGTACTTTCCAGGCAGTGTTTGGACTGTTCAGGTATTCATTTATTTGTTTATTTTTGCTCCTTTTGGATCTGTTGTCTGATCCATATGGTCTACAGGTTGGGGTTTCTCGTGGATTTTCTCTCGCACGCTGCCATAGTTGGATTCATGGCGGGTGCAGCTATCGTTATCGGTCTCCAGCAGCTAAAAGGGCTGCTGGGAATTGAGCATTTCACCACAAAGACAGATGTTGTCTCTGTTCTAAGTTCAGTTTTCAGTTCATTTCATGGACCAGTAAGCATTTTAGTACCCAAAGTGTAACCTTTTTTTTCGGTTTTAATTCTTTTTGGCTCACCTGATGTTTCTGTGGTTTTGTTATAGTGGCATCCTTTCAATTTTCTGCTTGGTTGTTCATTCCTGATCTTCATCCTAACCACGAGATTCGTTGTAAGGACTTTTCGGTTTTTATCTATTCACTTCGGTTATCTGCAGTATGGCCTAATTAAGGTTTTTGCAGGGGAGAAGGTACAGGAAACTATTCTGGCTGCCAGCTCTTTCTCCTCTTTTATCAGTAATACTATCCACTCTGATAGTTTACCTAACGAAAGCGGATAAACATGGCGTTAACATTGTGAAGAAATTCAAAGGAGGCCTAAATCCGAGCTCGGTTCATAGTTTACAGTTCAGCAGTCCACATGTTGGAGAAGCAGCAAAAGTGGGATTAATCTGTGCCATCATCGCGCTAACCGTGAGCCTCTATCCTCTTTTGTTTCACTTCCCACTATATTTTTCGTGTGAAAAATGGAAACTTTTGTATTGAGAAACCAATATGGATGTTCAGGAGGCGATTTCTGTAGGCCGGTCTTTTGCTTCGATCAAAGGCTACCACCTTGATGGGAACAAGGAAATGCTTTCGATTGGATTCATGAACATTGTTGGATCTTTAACATCCTGCTATGCATCCACAGGTAAACTATGGGGATAGCTTATTCTATGCAGTATATTCTATGGGGATAGCTTATTTTATGCAGTATGGTAAATCATGGGGATAGCTTATTCTATGCAGTGTATTCCATGGGAATAGCTTATTCCAAGTCTGACCATTTTGGAAACAATTGCAGGTTCATTTTCAAGAACAGCTGTGAATGTTAGTGCAGGGTGTGAAACAGTGGTATCAAACATAGTCATGGCTGTGACAGTGCTAATATCCCTGGAATTGCTAACCAAACTTCTGTACTATACTCCCATGGCTATCCTCGCCTCGATTATCTTATCCGCGCTTCCTGGATTGATTGATCTTCAAGGGGCTTACCATATCTGGAAGGTGGACAAGGCAGATTTCCTAGTCTGCATTGGCGCATTCCTTGGAGTCCTGTTTGGCTCTGTCGAAATAGGCCTTCTAGTCGCGGTAATTAATCACTAATCTTACCTTTTTTTTCAACGTAATTTGTTAGGATCAAGCACGCGCTTACCGCTACGTCAAAAGTAGTACTTAGCTCTGATATCACTTATTAGAATCAAACGTTTATGATCACTACGTCAAAAGTAGTACCTAGCTCTGATATCACTTATTAGAATCAAACGTTTATGATCACTACGTCAAAAGTTATAATTCACAGCGAATGCGCAACTTTATTTCATTATATACACCGATTTTAGTCCTAGGCGACTTTTAGTCGACTGACTAACTAACCGGCCGACTAGGCACCGACTCGGTCGAGTTGAGCGCCTAACTCGGCCGAGTTGGCGCTCAATTCAGCCGAGTGGTTTTTTTTTTTTTTTTTTTTGCCTACTCGGCTACTCCTCTTTTATATTTCTCTAGTCATGTATTCAACTAACCATCTAACATATGCAATTGACTAGTTTGAGGGATTATAATAGTCTAACAACTCCTAGCCCTGAGTGAAAAAAGTGGAGACGATATATACACGGATTACTAGGCGCCCGACTAGCGCCTAGCGCCTTTTGCAAAATTAATTATATATTGTCAGTTTGTCACCACATTTTCGAGAGACAGAATGCTAGACTTGATTCTTCACTGACCTCCACCCAACAATTCCCCTAGCCACCCACCAATTGCTGTGGTCTCCGCCCAACATAATTTATGATCCTAAACAGTTAATAATAGTGTAACAAAATTTTCAGTTTTGTGATCAATATGGCATGGTTATGCAGGTTGCTACTTCATTTGCCAAAATAATACTGGATTCCATTAGGCCTAGTATAGATGGAATTGGAAAGCTTCCAGGGACAGACATCTTCTGTGAAATAACTAAATACCCTGCTGCAACTACCATTCCTGGCATCTTGATCATCAGAATCAACAATGGTTCTCTTTGTTTTGCAAATTCTCAATTCATTAGAGAAAGGTAATCAAAGTCTTGTGCTTATTAAAAATGGGTGTTTATAAAATGATCCTCAAACTCTTGTAAGAGTGTCCAATGTTAAAGTGGTTCACTGGTTCAGTAGGTAATATTTAGATGGACAGACCAAGGTTCGAAAACTCGGCAGCGACAATATGGGGATTTTGTCTAAAGTGAGTGGGCAGATCTATTGTGCGTACCGACACTTGGTCTTGTTTGCTGATTTGTCGTGATTTACAACATCTCAATTGCTCTGACGATTTAGGGTTAGGGATTCAACTTTTTGGGGGAAGAAAGTAGTAAACTAGTAGTAATTGAGGAACATATATAATAGTCAAGTAATAGATTTATGGCATTCAATTTTATTGCAAATATTATTTCTCATATAAAAAATGAAGTTCAAGGTGAAAAACAAAAAACAATAATAATAATAATAATAATAATAATAATAATAATAATAATAATAAGGTCAAATTTTGTTCTTTTGATGTAGGTTATTGAAGTGGGTTGAAAAAGCTAATGCCTCAGAGAATGCCCAGACTGTAAGGGTATTGATCTTAGACATGTCTAGTAAGTTTGCTTTCACTAACTATTATTATTATTATTATTATTATTATTATTATTATTATTATTATTAAAAATTCAAAATGTTTAACAATATTATATGCTAATAATTGTAAACTTTATTATGTGTTCAGATGTAACAAATACAGATACATCCGGAATTGTTGTGTTGGAAGAATTGTATAAGAAATTGGCTTCACAGAACACACAAGTGAGTTTCTCATATAGACAATTTGACATGAGATATTATTACATATTAATGCAACTAATTAATAATTTTTATTATTGCAGTTAGCTATTGCCGGGCCTAGGTGGAAGGTGATTGAAAAATTAAAGAAAGCCAAAATTGTAGATAAACTTGGACGAGGATGTTTTTTTCTAACTATTGGCGACGCCGTCGATGCTTGCCTAGATTTTAAAATGGCTACTCATCACGTTTGATGAAAGAATAATACTACGCATTTGTCTAAAAAAAAATTCTTAATTTTCTCTTCTGTTATGTCACTATTTAATGTAATAATACTTTAGTCATTTATTATAATTTGATGGAGTAAGCTAATTTATGAGCATACAATAATTATAAGCCACATCACGATAAAATTTACGAGGAAAAGACTAAAGAGAGATTAAAAAAAGAAAAAAGAATTACTCCGTATTCTTGAAATATGGTGATAACATTTTGTGTAATATCTTTCATCCTAATTTTTTGTGTAATGTAAAAAATAATAATAATAATAATAAATGATATTTGGTCCGCCCTTACATAATTCTTGAGTTACTTGAATTGATGGTATAGAATTGTGGGGCCAACTTGACATTGATTACAACTATATTACAAATTAGGCCAAGCCATCATTTCTGGTCCACAAATCAAGTTAACAATAGTTATTGTGTTGACAATAGTTATGCTGTGCATCCGTATGCACCATCGTATGCACCATGCATGGTGCATACGGATGCCAAAACGACGTCGTTTTATTAAAAAACGCGCGTCTCCCTTTTAAAAAAAATTCAGGTTCGATTCCTAGCAACAATATTATATTGTTCATTCATTCTGGAATTTTAGTTCATAGATTATGGAATTATAGTTCATTGATTATGGAATTATAGTTCATTGATTATGGAATTGTAGTTCATCGATTCTGAAATTTTAGTTTATAGATTATGGAATTTTAGTTCATTCATTCTGAAATTTTTAGTTCATAGATTAGATTATGGAATTATAGTTCATCGATTATGGAATTTTAGTTCATATGTTGTTGCTGGGAATCGAACCCGATTTTTTTTTTTTAAAGGGAGACGCGCGTTTTATTAAAACGACGTCGTTTTTGCATCCGTATGCACCATGCATGCATACGGATGCACAACATAATTTGCCTTGTGTTGAACGCCGCCCATATAATTGTGTGAATTACGGTTTAAAAATGATAACATTTTGTGTATTTTTTTACGCGACTCATTATAATATACATTTTTATAACTCATAATTTACATTATTCTAAAACATAATTTACATTATTCTAACTCATAATGTACATTATTCTAACTCATAAAATTCAACGACGTCGTTTTGAACCGTGGTCCACACAGCTGTGTGGACCGTAATTTGTCTCAAGTTAATCATTTTTTTCACGCAACATGCATTTTCCTCTCCATTGCTTCTTCCTTAACTCCATTGATGCAACATACATTTTTATAATTCATAAAATACATTATTTTCTAAAGCATAAAATATATTATTCTAACTCATAAGGTTCATTATTCTAACCAACAAACTACATTATTCGAATTCATAATGTCCATTATCTAAACACTCAATTCATCAACACCTGAGGACTTACTAAAGATACATTTTTATCATTCATAAAGTACATTATTTAAAGTCTAAAGTACATTGTAAATTTATAATAAACCATGGACAATTGCAAAACTTACTAAAGGTATATTATTCAAACCAATAATGGACAACTTGTGAACACTTAAGAACTTATCCAACATACGTTTTTATAACTCATAAAAGTACATTATTCTAAAACATAAAATACATTATTCTATCTCATAAATACATTATCTTACTCAGAAGGCTCATTATTCTACTATATAAACGGCTTAGCAGACGCCATTATTGACTAAAATAAAAAAAATTTAACATCAAAATTACCTTGTTTTGAACCGGCGTCCTCATAGTTGTGGACCACGGCTCACACAATAATTTGTCTCAACAAATTGACTGTGAAATTTTTAAAAAATAAAATAATATATTTATTATTTTTAATCTTCATTAATGGCCCATTAATACTTCCGAACTTTTTATATTTAGGATTTTATTTATATAGTTTTTTTTTTTTTTTTTTTTTGGAAAACCATTTATATAGTTAATAAAATATAACAAAAATATGTCAATAAATAATTTCTAAATTATATGTCTAAGTTATAACTTATAACAATAAAAATAAACATAAATTAATAAAATAAAATAAAAAGATTGTCTACTATTTTATAAATGTACTTGTAAACTATAAATTTTTAAAAGAATTAATTTTTAAATTGTTAATTATAATAAAAAAATTATGTAATTTGTAAATAATAATTTATATATTGAAATATATTTTTTAAAATATGCTTCTATTTTTTATTTTTGTTTTTTTCGGGTTATGTACTGAATTAGACTTTTTTTTTTTTTTTTTTTTTTTTTTTTTTTTTTTTTTTTCAAACGAAACTAGTGTTACAAAATTTAATTGTGTTAGGCCAGCTATCTCTAAAGACGGAAAATTATTGTGTGGACCATGATCCACACAGTGTTATATGGACCGCAATAAAAAAATATATGTATAATATATTAAATGTACATTATTTTTGTACTTAATGTACATTATACTATATAATGTACATTATACAATATAATGTATATTCAATACAAAAATAATATATAACTCCTGAATATAATGTACATTCAATACAAAAATAATATATAACTCCTGAATACATTGTACATTATTTTTGTACTAAATATACATTATGTTTGTATTGAATGTACATTATTTTACAGTATACAAAATATGATCCACACAATAATGATTGGTCTAAAGACTAAACAGCCCCTTGATGGGCTACACTGCACCAGCCCAAGCCCGCGTATTTGACATCTTTATTGTTACTCAATAGTTTTGTTGTCCTCCTCAAGTATGGATTATGGAATGTACCTTGGACAAGGGTGTCGAAAATAATGTACATTGCAGGCTCATTTTCAAGAACAGCTGTGAATGTTAGTGCAGAGTGTGAAACAGTGGTATCAAACATAGTCATGGCTGTGACAGTGCTGATATCCCTGGAATTGCTAACCAAACTTCTGTACTATACTCCCATGGATATCCTCGCCTCGATTATCTTATACGCGCTTCCTGGATTGATTGATCTTCAAGGGGCTTACCATATCTGGAAGGTGGACAAGGCAGATTTCATAGTCTGCATTGGCGCAGTCCTTGGAGTCCTGTTTGGCTCTGTTGAAATAGGCCTTCTAGTCGCGGTAATTAATCACTAATCTTACCTTTTTTTTTCAACGTAATTTGTTAGGATCAAGCACGCGCTTACCGCTACGTCAAAAGTAGTACTTAACTCTGATATCACTTATTAGAATCAAACGTTTATGATCACTGTACTACGTCAAAAGTAGTACCTAGCTCTGATATAAATTATAAATTTATAATAAACTATGGATAATTGCAAAACTTACTAAAGGTACGTTATTCAAACAAATAATGGACAGCTCATAAACACTTAAGAACATACCCAACATACGTTTTTATAACTCATAAAGTACATTATTCTAGTGGTTGTTTCCCCAATGAACATATCTACCCTTAAAATAAATATTTCATTTATTTTTCTTCTCCAATAAATTATGACCACGATTTGGTTCAAATCGAACAGACACTATATCAACCAAACGAAATATTCTAATTAAAATTTAGAATCGAAACCCGATATTTAGAGTTTATTAAAATCGCAAACCGGAACAGTCGGTCCATGTTCCGAACTGCAAAAAATACATTTATTGTTGAATTTAGACTATTTTAAAATAAAATTAAAAAAAATTAAAATAAAGACGGTTCGAAATCGCAAACTGGATCCAGAACTGCTGGTTCACGGTTCAGGATCCAGTTTTTTCGATTCATAATTTTAATAAACTGAAATCTAAATATTGGGTTCTTGATCTGAATCATAACCGGAAACTTTCAATTCGATTGCTATAGTGTCCGGTTCAGTTCGAACTGAACCGTGATCATCCCTACGTATAAGCAATAATTTGTTGGAGATGAAAAATAAATAAAATGTTTACTTTAAGGGTAGAAGTGTCAATTTAATATATCAAGGGGGAAAGCAACCACTTTTAGAATAATTGAGGGGGCTAATGTGCTTACATGAATAATTGAGGGAAAAAATGTGCTATTAACATATAATTCATGGAGAAAAAATGTCATTTTCCCTAATATACATTATTCTAACTCATAAATACATTATCATACTCCAGAAGGTTAATTATTCTACCACATAAACGGCTGAGTAGACGCCGTTATTGACTAATGAAAATTTTTTTAACATCAAAATAACATCGTTTTGAACCGTCGTCCTCATAGTTGTGTGGACCATGACCCACACAATAATTTGCCTCAACAAATTGGCTGTGAAATTTTTTAAAAATAAAATAATATATTTATTACTAGTATTTTCACCCACACGGGATGCATTTGTTGTAATATATTAAGAATATTTGAATCGATATATAATTATTTAAAGAGTGAATTCCATTTTTGGTCCACCTATTATAGGGATCATTCCAATTTTAGTCCACCATAATTATTCTTGCCATATTGCATCCACTATTATTAAAAGTGTTCCAATTATAGTCCACGGAAAATCTAAAAATGGACTAAAATTAGAGCACTTTTAATAATAGTGAACGCAATTTGGCAAAAATAATTATGGTAGACTAAAATTGGAAAAACACTTATAATAGTAAGACCAAAAATGAAATTCACTCTTATTTAAATTAGAACATCAAATATTATATAGTGCAATTAAAGATATGGTTTGGATCGTTTATGTGTTTTGATGTTATCATTGCTTGATTTTATGCAAATAATTGCTCAAATTAATAGCTAATGTCTAGATGTACGCATGCGGTGCTATAACTTTGAAGATCTTATTTATCATTGTTTATTGTTTTTATAAATTAGGCAAATGTGCTCGTTCTCTAACAACTTAGATAATTATAAGAATGAATTTTTATCATAATTTATTTGTATTGAGATATATTTTTTGTCTAGATATATAGCAAATTTTCCATTTAATTTAAAAAAAAAACATAATATCACCGATTATATTTACACATTATTGAAACCTTTTTGTAGACGACATTGGTAGTGGCAACACAATCTTGTCCATCCTCATCTAGAGCTAACACCTTCAGTCCATCAGGACGGGTGACTCAGGTGAAAATATATAATGGTAGAATATCACTCAATCAGTGCTC